GAGAAGGGAAGACTATGAGGGACGTAATAGGAAAGGCTTTGTTATTTGCAGAAGGCATGAAAACTGGCTACAAGCATGGTTTTCAGTATGGTTAGGCATCACCCTGATTCATTTGATTGTAACTCCTACAGTCCCTATTTCTAGTCAAAGGGAGCCAAGATTTTGGTCCCAGGTCTATTGGACTCTGAAGTTTCTGATATAAACTTTTATCCTATCTGGTTACCCTACAACTTTATAAACTCAAGCACACTCTGTTTCCCCCTTCCGTTAAGGTCCAACTCAGCGATGGCTTCTCTCTAAAGTCTTTTTAGAGCCCCTAATCGGAGTCCTGCAGCACTTTGAACCTTGAATAGGCAGCTTTAGTGTAGTCTTTTGTGTACCTATTTCCCCACTGGATTGTGAGAATCCAGTCCTCCCAGGAAGTACAGATTGTATCCCACGATATTTAGCACAGAGATGTGGCCGCTTCACTGGATGCGATGTTGGTTGTAAAACAAAAAATAAAGGAGTACAGACTAAGTATGTTCATAAGCAGGAGCAGGTATGATGTCCCGAAGAAAAAACAGGTCACCCTGGTTATATGAAAGACCAAAAACAGAAGGAGGTAAGACTGGAAAAGCAGGGAAGGGGTGAGATGAGGAGGGTCTTAAATGTCACACTCAAGGATTTGGACTTTACTCTGCAGACACTGAAAGCCAGTTAAAGTTTAGCCTGGTTAAAAAGATGGTTAAGGCCATCTCTATTTAAATGTGAAATTGGTGGTGACCAGTCTAGCAGTACATTTTCCCCTTATTTTATTTGGATCACATAAACCTACCTTTGAGTACAAAAGAGCACTGGGTCACATTTAGGTGACACATTTCCTCCAAACATCCTGGAGAACTTCAGGAAGTGGGGATAAATCAGCAAGGGGACATCTTCCTGAACCAAGTGACATCTGATATCTGGACAGAGCTCTTCTTGCCAAGCTATTAAAAATCTTTCCATAACTTCTGTTAGTGTTTGCTCAGCCTTTTCCCAGATGGAAACTGGGCAGAGGATAATACTAGATGGGAACAAATGTGGGAGATTTAAGGTTCCTCTGGTAAGTCTGTATCCTGAAGGCTTTCTGAAAAGCTGACCTGCCGACAGAGGCCTCACTCACCAAGGGGAAGACAGACATTGGTCAGTTAGTTTGATTTTTTGATTACTTGTGGTAAAGAAGAGTATTGTGGGATTTTATATTCCCAATACCCCAAGGTTAGCTCTAATCTTAGAAATCAGAAGGGTCTTAAAAATCCAGGGAAACCCATTTATAGTCTTACATTACGTATCTTATCCTAAACCATGCAGAGGTGTACTTTACTGTCTTTAGCCAACATTGCTCACTAGCAGACTCTTTAAGATTTCCTTTTATTATCTGTAACCTTTATAAAATTAAAATTATTATCAATCTAGCACAGAGATGGATAATACCAGCTCTGGACTCAGATTGCCTGGGTTTTGATCCCGATTTTTCCATTTAACGGCAATGTGGCCTTGGGCAAGTTTCTTAACCCCTCTGCCTCAGTTTTCTCATCTTTAAAATGGGGATAATCATTTACTTTACTCACAGGGTTTTAGCCACAATCAAATGAATGAACTCATTATTAATTTACTAAAAGTAAAACCCTTAGAATAGTGCCTGGTACATAAGTTGCCAGTAAATAATTACCTATTATTTTATTGTAAATGAGAAAATTAAAGTAGCTAAAGGTTAAATGACTTAGGTAGTTATCCAGCAAGTGACTAAACTGAGATTAGTGTTTCTTATTTCAAGATTTAGTTCACTGAGGTAGCTGTTTCTTTGACCAGAAGTCATCAAACTTTTTCTTAAAGGGTCAGAACAGATAATAATTATTTTATACTTTGTGAGTCTTATAGGCTCTGGTGCAGCTACTCAACCCTGTCACTGCAAAAGCGGCTATAGCCCTGGCCAAGTGGCTCAGTGGGTTTGAGCATTGTTTCGTACACCAAAAGGTCTTGCGGTTCAATTCTTGGTCAGGGCACATACCCAGGTTGGGGGTTCGATCCTGTTTCAGGGCATGTGTGGGAGGCAAACAATCAATGTTTCTCACATTGATGTTTCTGTCTCTCCCTCTCTCTTTAAAAAAAAAAAAAATTTAAAAAGCAGCTATAGATAGTATGTAAGTGTCATACCTGGATAGAGACTGGATTTTGGTTTAGTTTGAAATTATGAAATATGGCATTATTATAATAAATAGTATCTTTACTTCCTAATGATTATATCTAACATGTTAATCTCAGTTATGATGCTCATGCTAAAGAATATCAAAGGGATTTAGAAAATAAGCAATAGTAGTGTGTTTTCCATTCGCAAAGGGATATATAGAAGTCATTTATTGAATGGTTTGGAGGATTATCTTGGAATTGGCGATCTGAGGTTTCTGCAGGACGTTAAGGGTTTGTTTTATTAAGTGAACGTAAATACAGACTGGTTTTTGTTTTTGTTTTTGAAAATTCTGTATAGGGAAAGTTGTGAGTCAAATAAAAAGCTGTTTGTAATTATCTTTGTCATCACACTATGGGTTTTTCTGCTAAGAATGTTGTTTGCATAGGTTTGGATTTTTTTTATGGCTTATTTTTCAATTTAATAATGTGTTCTTGTTTTTAAATTAGCCTTGTCAGTGAGCCTTTTTGTGAGTGACTGGCCGTGTTGGTTGGTTCGTATTTATAGCTTACGTCTGTTTCTGAGGAAATGACTAAAGTCTCTTGCATTTGGTCAAAACTGTATAACAAAGGACATCTTTGACTCACTTACACAAGGCTCATGATGGAAGCTCAAAAAAATCAAGTGGTTTATGTTTATAAATGTTTTTATGTATTCAGTCCTGGTTGATTCAAATAATCAGAGCTCTGTGCTGAGGGAGGGATAAATATACTCAGTGCCTCTTAGTTCAGTGAATTCCTCTGGAGCAAGTTCAGGCAATACTTTCTTAGAATACTCTTTAAAAAAATTGTTTTCTAATTTTGCGTGCTGTTTTGAATTGGGTCTTACAGAACATAGTTACGCTTTTTTCTTCTCTTTAAGAGGCCTGGACACATGTGAAGTTTGTAAACCTTGCACATGTAATTTCTGGCGAGGAGGCTGATGGGGACTGGGGCAGGGTCTGGGGAAGTGACTGACTCACAGAAACCCACCGTGCCTTGCTTCATGCTGGAGCCCCTATTTGCCCCCTCTGGAAGATCCACAGGCTCTCCCCACCCTCTTCTTATCCCCTCACTGTGGGTTCAGTCCTCCTCATGGAAGTATAGGTGGCCTGCCTTCCAGGGCAGGAGACAAAGGCACTGGGTGGGAAGGAAGAGAAGAAGGCCTGGCTCCTGACTGCGTGGACCCAGGCTGACCTGTGTTCTGGCACCCGACCGAGAACTCACATTTTCCCATAAAGGCCCCGTTAGGAAGGGTGGTTGGATTTTGCTGCGATCACTGTTCTAGATCAGCTCTGCTATGTTATGAACTCATTGGGCTTTTTCTGCACTAGCTTTAATCATCATTTAGTTTCAATACTTTTATAAGCAGCTCAAGGAATCTCCGAATAAGTTCTGGATCAAAGTATAAAAGAGATAAAGGTGGAATTGCTCTGTCTACACTACACATCCGCTCACTCCTGCCTCCATCCTCACAAGCACCTGTTGGAGAGGGTGCCTACATACTCACTTTGAAAACTGCTGATGAATATAACTTTGCTTTTGGAGCATATGCTAATCTAGAAATTGGGCTTGCCTATGTATGCATCATTACTTGCTTAAAATTTACCCAGATTGTGAGTACTCGGAACAGTTTATTCCCTGTATTATTTATTCTTGTATTATTTATTTGTATTACACCTGTAAGGCTACTTTGCCCACCCCTGTATATGGGTCATATATGAAGCCAGCTCTAGGGGAGGCTGGATGGACAGATATGAAGCATCCCCCATTAATGCCTGACATTCCATTGTCAGTAATGCATTTTGTTTTGGTGTTAAGCACCTGCCTTCTGAAGCTCTTTTTTTTTTAATGAAAATGTCCTCAGGAAGGATATCCATCAAGTTGTTGGAACTTTGGAGCCAATCCTATTTTTTCCCTACTTAATGAAACATCTGGAGTCACTGACTCCTCAAAGGAGCAGATAGAAGAAGGAAGCTGCTACACTCCCACTTCACAGTTTTGTCTGGGACTGGCCCCGACCATACATATGTTTGAAAAGCACATGTATTTCTAGTATTTCTAGTATTTAACTTGGAGATACTTTGCTTTCTCGTTTAGATTGAGGTAGTTCTGAGGTATCTGAAGTGTGAGCACCTCAAAAGGAACTCACAGATCCTAAATATCCCTTTCCTACCAAAAAGTATTTTATTGATGTAATGGTGGAGATCTACAAGCCCATATATATAGTAATGGGAATTTTTTCCAAGTATATATTATTCAAAAGAGATAAGGGAATCAATCAGAAACTCAAGTTTTAAAAACAGTGTATATGTTTCTGCATATTGGCTACTTACTGTTCTTGCTGGACAAGAAAATAATAAATTCATTTTTTAAAATCTTAACAACTAAATATTGTAAAACAATGGTTTATTCATTTACTCAACAAACATTCATAGAGTACCTAACATGTACCAGGTGCTTCGGGCTATAAATTTAGTGATGATGGTTTTAGCAGAAACTCAGGCTTAGGAATATTTGAGGTTGTCGGGTAACTGAGGAGGTAAGGAAGGGTGAGAGGGAGGCTGCTGGATGGGCAGGAGGAAGGAGGAGGAGGGCGTGGGGAGGGGGGAACGGCAGGGGGTAAGTGGAAGGCGAAGCAGTTAAATCTCTCGGGCCTCGACACATTTTCTTTATTTAATTACACATGTGTTATCTAGTTTGATGTTCTTTGCTTATACAACAACTTACCATCTATGGATTATATTTTTTTCTGGTGTGGCATAATTTCAAATTAGTTTTAATTGACCTTCTCTATATTTCTTTCTTTCCAGTATTAAAGAACTTTATGGATCAGTTTGCTAATAAGTACATGCAAGATTTGAAGAGCTGAAGAAGAAATCAGTATTAAACCTTCCTTTTTAATGTAAGTAAACTCTTCTTCACCGTGGCTCATTTCGGACCTTTAAAGCCTGCAATTACCTTTCTGTATCCTCGGTGTGTGAATGTTTTCCCAGTAGTAAAGTTACTTGACTATGTCAGTGTACTCATTATGTCTGTGAGAATTTATGACCCACCTCCTTTAAAATTTTTTAATTCTAAAACTAATATGACTAACATAAGTGGCTGTAGGATTTAGGCATGTCGTGACAGTCAGTGAACAAATCATTTTTTGGCACTGAGAAGGAGAACACAGACCTGGTAGCACATAAAAAGCACCGCCTTCTCCTCAAATCCTTTATTGCCCTTTGTCTCAGACCGTCGCAGTGCCCCATCGAAGCAGCGAGAATCGTCGGTCCCTATGGGCTTAGAAAAATGAGGTGTTTTCATATAAGCTTATTTACTCCTTTCCTCCCTGTTTCTTTTGCTCAGTAATAATAATGATATTTAATTATTTATTGAACCTGTATTAAGTGGCAAGCATTTGACTAATTCAATTCAATTTTCATTCAACGACTACTTTCTTTGCATGCTTGCCACATGCCAGACACCATTACCTTATGTTATCCTGTCAACATCGCAGAGTAGGAGTTAATATTTTAGTGATCTAGGTGAGGATACTGAGATTCAGAGAGCGGTGAGGAACGTGCTGATGGTCGCACAGCCAGTGAGTGGCAGAACATGGGGTGTGAGCACAGCGCTGCCTGACTTTCTCATTTACCACATCCTAAATAGTGTTCGAAGCTTTTTCTGGCGCATCTGTCGGTAGGAGACTGGAAACTTCTGGGTTGTGTTCTTAATAAGAATGTGATCCTAATCCTTCTAAACCTGGGCTGTAGTCACAACAAGGATTGAAGTTAGAGAAACATCCTCCCATGTTTGAGAGGTAGCTTTGGTACCTGGTTGGGGACTTAAGAGATCTAATGTTCAGTCCCAGCTTTTCCTTGGATTTCCTGTGTCCTTGAGACATTTAACCTCCATGGGAAACAATTACTCTTATGCCAGTCAAGGAGAGCAGAACAGATGTTCCCCAGGATCTCTTTGAGTCAGCTTTTTATCAAAATATCTTATACACAGAGGAAAGATCACAAATCATAAGTGGATGGCGTGCTGGAATAATTGTGACAACCTGGACATGCCTGTATAACAGCACGTGGATTAACAGAAAACTACCAGCACCCCAGAACCCACTCTCCTAATGCTCCCAGGAATAACCTATTTCCCGATTTCTAATGCCATTGATTGGTTAGTTTGGCTATTTTAAAAGTTTATGTAAATAAAATCATACCATATATATTCTTTTGTTTCTGGCTTAATTTCCTTATTATGTTTGTGGAATTTATCTGTGATATTTCATATAGTTTATTTCTTTTTCATTTTCCTTGCTATTATGGTATTCAATTATCTGTCTTTCACAGTTGGTGGATATTTAGGTAGTTTTCTGGTTTGGATATATTAGAAATAGTGCTCCATTAAATATTTTTGTGTGTATCTTTCAGTGATGATTGTATTTTGTTTGTTCAGGGACCACTCAGTAATTTAGATTCTGTGGCTTTGCGGAGTGATGCTGATGTAAACACCTGTGAAAGCAGACAAGTTGATTTTAGGTAGGCAGGTGACTTGTCTATCTCAACAGGATGTTCTAAGCATGCTAGTTAGAAAGAGGAAGATGTTTCACAGATCACTTTGGGCATTTGGCCAGGTGGAAGGCCTCTCTGATACGTATATGGTATGATAAGCCTTGCTTCCCTGGCGCAGAAGAGCTTTGGTTGGGTATAAGAAGGGATTACAGAGAGGAAGAGAAAATAGATCCAGAAGAAAGAGATGTCTGGGCTCTCCTAGAAATGATCAGGATATTTCACCAGTCAGAGCAAGAGCCTGGAAAAGTGACAGCCGAGAGGAAGAATCAGTTTACGGTACCTGAAGAGTGTAAGAAGATGAACAGAGAAATAAAAATCGATCTGAGCAGGCAGGCTGGTTCTCAGAAGGAGCTCTCAGAGCATTTCCTGAACAAATTTACTAAGGTTAACTTTTGTTTCAAGGGGGGCTTGGAAAATCAGTATCTAAACTGTGGATCTTGAAGCCAAGAATAAACTTAATAAAATTGCTAAACTAGGGAAAATGTATTTTTTAAACAATTACAGGATGTGAGTGTGTGGGCTTTGCTGTGAGACTGTTCTGCATTCAGATCATGGCTCTACCTCTACCTTTTCCCATGATCCCTCTGGGTCCACCTTCTCATTTGTAAAATGAGGATTTTAATATGCCTACCCTGTAGGTTTGCTGTGACAATTTACCACATTAGTGTCAGCAGTGGCTTTTGGGCACATTGCCCTAGCACTAAAAATAGCCATTATTCTTATTATTTTTCTGATCTTATTGCTAATATCACCTGTTTGACTCTGTATCTGATTTTACAGGAGTTTTCAGATCTCTTCTTAAAAAATATGAGATAAGCTTAGTTTCTTTTTTTAACCGTATTGAACACTAACAAAAATATTTTCCTACTTGCCCCATGTTAAGCTGAAACTCAGAGCACAGATGAAAGAAGCAGTTGTCCATGTGTCCCTTGCATGTCCCTCCCCAAAGTGAGTGGTGAAGACACCCTTGGTTTTGGGAACTGCTTTACTTGATTAGTTGAAGAAGAGGCCAGTGGAGCTGAGATTCTTGGGAAAGTTGGGTCATTTTGCATAGAGGAAAATGATAATTTTGTATATTATACTCTCAACTCTTGCCAGGCATTTTGCAAACAAGTGTTCTTATTTTCTAGGGGCCTTCAGGGAGTGGCTATGTGGGTGATTCACTACAGACTACAGCCATTATAGGGTGTCCATTCCAACTGGTCAGTGACATCTTGCCACCTGTTAGCAAATTCTGAAATAGCTCTTGGGGCATATGGTGTAGCTTAAGCTTGATTTTGCTCTCAATGGGATTACAGTCTAACAAATGAATAATCTTGTGTTCTAAAGAGGAAACCGGGAGAGTGACTTGAGTCGAAGAGAACATTTGACCCAAGACTCTGAAATTCTAGTTCTGACTTCTCCGTTAACTAGCCATGGAGCTTCAGGTTATAGTGTTCATCCTGGGCTTCTCTTTCCTCATATGTAAGTTAGTTTAGACTGGGACTTTGCAGCAGAGGAGGATTCTGTGAATCCTCTGAATGGAATACTGAGTTTTGCATATATATGTGGTTTTCTAAATGCTAGATTCTTTCACAGGTTTTATCTCAAGTCAAAACTTCTTGTGACAACAGATTTTAGTACTTATGATAGTGGGGGAAGAAATAGCTGTTTATTTATTTATTTAAATATTTTTATTGATTTTTAGAGAGACAGGAAGGGAGAGGGAGAGAAACATTGATGAAAGAGAGAAACATCTATCGGCTGCCTCCTGCATGCCCCCTACCGGGAATTGAGCCCTCAACCCGGGCATGTACACTGACTGGGGAATTGAACCAGTGGCCTCTCGGTGCACACGAGGACGCCTAGCCAACTGAGCCACAGCAGCCAGGGCTCAAACATTCTTTATTCTAGGCAATTCATACTAGAAAATCTGAAAACACTTGGGGATGACAATCTTACTTGGACTTTTGTGTCACATAGTTGGTTTCATTGGTTCATTATAACTTGATACAACACATAAATTAATTTCTTTTTATCATGAAACTTACACTAGATTTCTTTTTTTTAAATTTAATTTCTATTTGCCTCAACTTTTTAAAAAATGATTTTAGAGAGAGGGAGAAAGAGATACAGACATCGATGTGAGAGAGAAACATGATCAGTGGCTTCCCACATGCACCCAGACCTGGGATTGAACCCACAACCCGGGGTCAACCCGAAATCTGGGTATGTGCCCCAACCGGGAATTGAACCTTTTGGTGTATGCAGGCCAAGGTGAAGCTAGCAGTCTCTTCTCGGTTGCTTTGTTTTCTGCTCACTTCTTTGTAAATTTGCAGTCAGTGACTTTGATTTTCTTTTCTCCCTTAATGCAGATATGTAAGCATATAGCTGCAGACAGAGAGAAAGGAAATGTTTACACATTTAGCAAATAAATAGTCAAAACGTGTGGGGGTGTGGGGGTGAGCACACACCAGCTCTATAACCGGAGAGGTGGTGTGCTTTTCTCTCAAGTTGCCATGGACTTATGCATTTAATTAGGACGCCTTGGCATCTCTGATGGCACTCAGTTATGTCGTCTCAGCAGTGTTTTAAGAAGGAGGGAGAGGTTTCAAGGGAATTTTGACTCTCGGTGGACGTGTGGTCTATATTATGGTATTCTTGGGAAATCAGGGGTCTGGCACCAGAATGCCGATTAGCCAAGGCTCCCCATTGCTTCTGGAGTGAAGAAGTGGGAGAAGGGATTTCAGTAGTTCTTAAATTATCATTTAGCAGTAGCTCAAGGGTTGTGCATCATAATCAAAGAAGTGAGATTGGGGCCCCAGGATGTGTGCTATGTTCCTTGCTTGCCCTAATGCTGCCCTCTCCTCAAATCACAGCCCAGAGCTGGTTCAACCAAGAGGAGACTCAAATTAAGGGTGTGGCAGTTTACAGCCATTGTAGCAGGATTCATTTAGTCTTTAGGGAAAAAATAATATATACTATCTATTTAGAAATTGTGGCAGCTTTCAGAGCTTGAAATATCCTTGAGAGTCTCCTGTGACTATTATGTTGAACTGAGAGGTAATTGCTTGCCAGTGACTGACTCCTAAGTATAGTACAATAATTGTTTTTGTCTTCTGTGTTTCAGTTTATATTTCAAAACAAGTTTTCATTGTATGACCAGCTTTTCTCATTTGTATGTTTGTTTTTACTTTATTCCTTTACCTTCATGGTAGTAATTATGTGCTTGGCTCCAGATACATAGGCCATTTGACACTCTGACACTGTGATATTAAGAGATTTTAGAAGAAAAGGTCATCAGCTGTCTTTCTGGGCTATTCTGAGCATTTTGTACTATATTTATTTTGAATCCAGCTTTTCTTGC